TTTCTCTCGAAAGAAGTAAGTGGGAGGAAAGTAGAGCTTGATGAAGTATTGCCTCTTGAACCGGAAAATGGCGCAACTCAAGAAAATGTTCCTGAGGTGCCAGCACCGACTAGAGAGGAAGTTAATGATAATGATCAAGATACTTCTGATCAAGCTCCTACTGAAATTCGAAGGTCCACAAGGACACGTTCCGCACCAGAGTGGTACGGCAACCCTGTCTTGGAAATCATGCTGTTAGACAATGGTGAACCTTCGAACTATGAAGAAGCGATGGCGGGCCCGGATTCCGACAAATGGCTGGAAGCCATGAAATCCGAGATAGGATCCATGTATGAAAACAAAGTATGGACTTTGACTGACTTGCCCGTTGAGCGGCGAGCCATAGAAAATAAATGGATCTTTAAGAGGAAGACAGACGCGGATGGTAATGTGACCATCTATAAAGCTCGGCTTGTCGCTAAGGGTTATCGACAAGTTCAAGGGGTTGACTACGATGAGACTTTCTCGCCGGTAGCGAAGCTGAAGTCCGTCCGAATCATGTTAGCAATTGCCGCATTCTATGATTACGAAATATGGCAAATGGACGTCAAAACGGCATTCCTTAATGGTTTCCTTAAGGAAGAATTGTATATGATGCAGCCGGAAGGTTTTGTCGATCCTAAGAATGCTGACAAAGTGTGCAAGCTCCAACACTCGATTTATGGGCTGGTGCAAGCATCTCGGAGTTGGAACATTCGCTTTGATGAGATGATCAAAGCGTTTGGGTTTACACAGACTTATGGAGAAGCCTGCGTTTACAAGAAAGTGAGTGGGAGCTCTGTAGCATTTCTCATATTATATGTAGATGACATACTTTTGATGGGAAATGATATAGAACTCTTGGACAGCATCAAGGCCTACTTGAATAAAAGTTTTTCAATGAAGGACCTTGGAGAAGCTGCTTATATATTAGGCATCAAAATATATAGAGATAGATCAAGACGCCTCATAGGTCTTTCACAAAGCACATACCTTGATAAGATATTGAAGAAGTTCAATATGGATCAATCCAAGAAGGGGTTCTTGCCTGTGTTGCAAGGTATAAAATTGAGCTCAGCTCAATGACCGACCACGGCAGAAGATATAGAAGAGATGAGCGTCATCCCCTATGCCTCAGCCATAGGTTCTATTATGTATGCCATGCTGTGTACCAGACCTGATGTAAACCTTGCCGTAAGTTTGGTAGGAAGGTACCAAAGTAATCCCGGCAAGGAACACTGGACAGCGGTCAAGAATATCCTGAAGTACCTGAAAAGGACTAAGGAAATGTTTCTCGTTTATGAAGGTGACGAAGAGCTCGTCGTAAAGGGTTACGTCGACGCTAGCTTCGACACAGATCTGGATGACTCTAAGTCACAAACCGGATACGTGTATATTTTGAATGGTGGGGCAGTAAGCTGGTGCAGTTGCAAGCAAAGCGTCGTGGCGGGATCTACATGTGAAGCGGAGTACATGGCAGCCTCGGAGGCAGCACATGAAGCAATATGGGTGAAGGAGTTCATCACCGACCTAGGAGTCATACCCAATGCGTCGGGGCCGATCAAGCTCTTCTGTGACAACACTGGAGCTATTGCACTTGCCAAGGAGCCCAGGTTTCACAAGAAGACAAGGCACATCAAGCGTCGCTTCAACTCCATTCGTGAAAATGTTCAAGATGGAGACATAGAGATTTGTAAAGTACATACGGACCTGAATGTAGCAGATCCGTTGACTAAACCTCTCCCTAGAGCAAAACATGATCAACACCAGAATTCCATGGGTGTTCGATTCATCACAATGTAACTTGATTATTGACTCTAGTGCAAGTGGGAGACTGTTGGAAATATGCCCTAGAGGCAATAATAAAAGCATTATTATTATATTTCCTTGTTCATGATAATTGTCTTTATTCATGCTATAATTGTGTTATCCGGAAATCGTAATACATGTGTGAATAACAGACATCAACATGTCCCTAGTGAGCCTCTAGTTGACTAGCTCGTTGATCAACAGATAGTCATGGTTTCCTGACTATGGACACTGGATGTCATTGATAACGAGATCACATCATTAGGAGAATGATGTGATGGACAAGACCCAATCCTAAACATAGCACAAGATCGTATAAGTTCGTTTGCTAGAGTTTTCCAATGTCAAGTATCTTTTCCTTAGACCATGAGATCGTGTAACTCCCGGATACCGTAGGAGTGCTTTGGGTATGCCAAACGTCACAACGTAACTGGGTGACTATAAAGGTAGACTACGGGTATCTCCGAAAGTGTCTGTTGGGTGACATGGATCAAGACTGGATTCGTCACTCCGTATGACGGAGAGGTATCACTGGGCCCACTCGGTAATGCATCATCATAATGAGCTCAGAGTGACCAAGTGTCTGGTCACGGGATCATGCATTACGGTACGAGTAAAGTGACTTGCCGGTAACGAGATTGAACGAGGTATTGGGATACCGACGATCGAATCTCGGACAAGTAACATATCGATAGACAAAGGGAATAGCTACGGGGTTGATAGAATCCTCGACATTGTGGTTCATCCGATGAGATCATCGTGGAGCATGTGGGAGCCAACATGGGTATCCAGATCCCGCTGTTGGTAATTGACCGGAGAGTCGTCTCGGTCATGTCTGCTTGTCTCCCGAACCCGTAGGGTCTACACACTTAAGGTTCATTTACGCTAGGGTTGTAGGGATATGTATATGCAGTAACCCGAATGTTGTTCGGAGTCCCGGATGAGATCCCGGACGTCACGAGAAGTTCCGGAATGGTCCGGAGGTAAAGATTTATATATGGGAAGTCCTGTTTCGGGCATCGGGACAAGTTTCGGGGTTATCGGTATTGTACCGGGACCACTGGAAGGGTCCCGGGGGTCCACCGGGTGGGTCCACCTGTACCGGGGGGCCACATGGGCTGTAGGGGGTGCGCCTTGGCCTAATGGGCCAAGGGCACCAGCCCCACATAGGCCCATGCGCCTAGGGTTTATGGGGGAAAGAGTCCTAGGAGGGGAAGGCACCTCCTAGGTGCCTTGGGGGGGAGGGAAACCCCCCTTGGCCGCCGCACCCCCTAGGAGATTGGATCTCCTAGGGCCGGCCACCCCCCCTTGGCCCTCCTATATATAGTGGGGGAGAGGAGGGACTTCATACCTGAACGCCTTGGCCTTTGGTTGCCTCCTTCTCCCTCCCCAACACCTCCTCCACCTCCATAGTGCTTAGCGAAGCTCTGCCGGAGTACTGCAGCTCCATCAACACCACGCCGTCGTGCTGCTGCTGGTGCCATCTCCCTCAACCTCTCCTCCCTCCCTGCTGGATCAAGAAGGAGGAGACGTGGCTGTTCCGTACGTGTGTTGAACGCGGAGGTGCCGTCCGTTCGGCGCTGGTCATCGGTGATTTGGATCACGTCGAGTACGACTACATCATCACCGTTCTTTTGAACGCTTCCGCTCGCGATCTACAAAGGTATGTAGATGCATCTAATCACTCGTTGCTAGATGAACTCCTAGATGATCTTGGTGAAACGAGTAGGAAATTTTTTGTTTTCTGCAACGTTCCCCAACATTTACTCCCTCCACTGCTGATACGTCATTGTTTCTCCTACAGCGTCCTGAGGTTACGATGTCTCTCCTGGTTTATGTTGATGACATCATTCTCATCAGTTCCTCTGTTGCTGCTGCTGATCGCCTTGTGACTTCTCTCAGTGATAACTTTGTTGTCAAGGATTTAGGTGCACTGCATTTTTTCCTTGGTCGGGAGGTTTCTCTTTCTTCTGTTGGGCTTACTCTTACTCAGAAGAAGTACTCCTTGGACTTGTTGCGGCGTGCTGGAATGCTTCAGTGCAAACAGTTTGTCACTCCGATGTCTGCCACTGATCGGTCGTCTGCTCTTGATGGGGACTCTCAATCTCGTCTGATGATGCCACTGAGTATCGCAGTCTTGTTGGTAGTCTGCAATACCTTATTATTACCAGGCCTGATATCTCTTATGCAGTCAACCGTGTGTGTCAATTTCTGCATGCTCCCAGGACATCTCATTGGTCAGCTGTGAAGCGTATTTTTTTCGCTATGTCTGCCTTACTGCCTCCTATGGTTTGCTTCTTCAGCCTGCACCCTCATGTGAGCTCTCAGCTTTCTCTGATGCAGACTGGGCTGGTAGTCCTGATGACAGGCGATCTACATGGGGATATGCGGTATTCCTTGGTTCTAACTTGATCGCCTGTAATGCTCGTAAGCAGGCCACAGTCTCTCGCAGTAGTACTGAAGCTGATTATAAAGTTGTCGCTGACGCAACTGCTGAGATCATATGGGTACAGTCTCTGTTGAGAGAGTTGCGTGTCTCTCCGGCTCAGCCTCCAGTTTTGTGGTGTGACAACATCGGTGCTACTTATCTCTCATCTAACCCGGTGTTCCATGCTCGAACAAAACACATTGAGGTTGACTATCATTTTGTTCGGGAACGTGTTGCACAGAAACTACTCTGTATCAAGTTTACCTCATCCAAGGATCAACTTGCTGACATCTTCACAAAGCCTCTTCCACAACCACAGTTTGTAGGCTGTAGGCGCAATCTTAACTTGCTTTGTACTTCAGGCCACAGTTCAGATTGAGGGAGGGTGTTAGACTGTATATACGTAGCATCTGTACATATATATTGTAACATTGTATTGTACCCCATGGGTACCTCTATATAATGAAAGAGCCACACCCCGTTTAGGGTGTCGTGCAGTTCCCTACAGGATGTATTTTTCGGTGCAACAGACACGTCAGCTAATGTCCTCGAATTCACCTTGGCTGAGCTCATGAGGAGGCCGCACTTCATGGGAAAGCTACAAGATGAAGTGAGGAGTATCGTACCCCGGGGACAAGAAATTGTGAGCGCAACTGAATTGAACAACATGGTGTACCTGAGAGCAGTAATAAAAGAGTCTCTCAGGTTGTATCCTATTGCACCTCTCCTTGCTCCGCACCTTGCCATGGCTGACTGTACCATCGACGAATACATGGTTCCCGCAGGGACGCGTGTCGTCGTCAATGCATGGGCCATTGGGAGGGATTCAAGCTCCTGGGAGGATGCTGAAGAGTTCATACCTGAAAGATTTACAGATGAAGGAAATGCTAGGAATGTCAACATTAAGGGGAATGATTTTCATTTCTTGCCATTCGGGGCAGGACGAAGGATATGCCCTGGTATAAACCTCGGAATCGCCTTTGTTGAGCTTATGTTGGCAAACATCGTGAACCATTTTGACTGGGAACTTCCGATTGGGGTTGAGAGAAAAGATATCGATATGACAGAGGTGTTTGGGATAAGCATTCGTGGGAAGGAGAAACTATTGTTGATTCCAAAGTCACGCATGTAAAATCGAGCTAAGCTAAATACTTTGTGTTTATCAGTATAACTGTTTTCTTGGGAAGAAGGTGTTACAAGGGAAAATGGTGCCAATAAATAATGGCCAATTCTTGCTTGTATAGATACAAATATTGTTGTTTAGAACGTTGACAATCGTCAATGCACATGTTTGACCACTACTTTTATCATTACATAAATATGAAATAAAAGAGAAAAGACATAATGTCGAAGTACTTTTAAAGTAAACTAGCATGGTTGCCAGCACAAATGCACGTGCAACATGCTAGTCGTCTATTACTTTTGTGATTCACATTTCTTATTGTTATCTTATATACAGCATAACATCCATTGGGACAATACAAAATGAAAACTCACATGCTTCGTAGACCGTAAAAATCACATGCTTAGTAGAACTCTAAATCATACAGATACCAAGGACAATGAATCTCTACACTTGCAAACAGCTCTGGAAAACAAACCAGCACATATATCGTACACGCATCTACCATGACACGTATTTTCAGATTTAAAGTTGATTCACAGCTCGGGAAACAAAGACTAATGATATACAATTATACAAATAAGTAGAACAAGCATCTACGATGGCACAAATTTACAGATCTAAATTTGATCCGCAGGACCCTATGGAACAAGTTTAGATCTAAATTTGATCATCTTTATCCTCAACTTCGAGTACGTTCTCTACTTCCTCAATATCACAATGCCTAGAGACTCCGAAACCTAGAAGAAGATTGCCGAGGATGCAGTTACCGCCGTCGCGGCTTTGACTTGGCCAACTGGTGGGTATTACGGACTTATGGTTCGCCTGCGCCTGTACTGGGCTGCCTGTTAGTTGGGCCTCTGTCACCGAAGAGGTATGTTGCCAGGTCCGACTCCATCTCCAATACTCCATCGCTATTATTCCTATTCCTATAAAAAAATAAATCTCCATCGCTATTTGCTGATCTCCTTCCTTGCTACTCCATATCACGATCACGCTGCGCTGTCGGGACAGTCCCGATCTCTTTCCTATTTGATCAAGTCCTTCCTCTTTTGATCCAGAAACATCGTCTTTCGTCCAATCCTTCCTGCTCCCATCGCCTTCTCCCACACGAAGTATCGTGGAGCACGCACAACCATGACGAGATCGGCAGGGACTCCTTTGGCCTTCCACAGGTCGATGCATAGGCACATAAAAAGGCTTCTTGACTCCCTGGATCGAAGCACCAAGTCAATTCAGCGATGTGGGGTGCGCCCCGCGTCATCGTCTTTGGTGGTGTTCTACCGTGGCGGGCATGAAACCCTAAATCTGCCAACAGCTTTGACGAAGACGGGAGCAACATCGGCGCCGTGTTGATCGAAGTTGAAGCAATGGCGGCGACGGGAACAAGCTGCACGGCTGCGGCGGCAGCAGCCACATCAGCGACATGAACAATCTAACGGGAGCAGGCTACCTTCATGTGGGGTGCGGGCGTGCGGCACTGCGTCGTCGTCGTTGGTCGTGTTCTAACTGTGGCGGGCGCCGTATCATTCTTCTTGCCGCCAGTGTTGCGACGAGTCTCCTTGGTGCATGTGTTGCAGGCCGCCGTCGTGGACTTGAATAACTGGAGCTTTTGCGGAAGGAGTGGGACGTTGGCCGCTCGAGGCGGCCGTGATCAGGGTTGACCGCTCGAGGCCGTGATCGGGGAAGACAACGAGGAGGAGGTTGCGGAGGATAGGGCGGAGGGAAAGACACCGAGAGGCCGTGATCCGTCACAGAGATTGTGCGGCACGTCGGGTAGGCACCGTTCCTGGTGCAGCTGGAGGTTGTTACTTTGCGGCGGCGTGACCACGCGAGCCCGTGTCTAACTCTCTTCCGCGTCTAATAGTGCTAGTGGTCGTCGTCGATACCATACTTGAGGAATAACGAGAGGAAAGGCGATCAGGTCGGTTGCAATGTCAGGCTACGATTAACTTTACGTTGGTGATTATGGTCGTGACTTGCTCGATTACTAACATGGTGTCCAAGTTCCTCCAAAGATTCCATTACCTAGGAGGCTAGGACGGCCAAAGCGCAAGACAGATGCGGCCCAAATCATGAGCCTTAATAAACTCCTAATCCTTCTCCTAGGGCATGCAGGCAGTGTTGTATGTACTTCTGATTTTTACACTAATTCAGTTTCATTGTTTATGTTTTCCAAAAACATGTTGTCCTGCTCCTCCCATCCATAAGTATAACTCAAGGGTATCATGTTCGTTTTTCTAATTATCGAATTAATATTGTCTAGACTCTCTCAAAACTATATTTTTCTGTCCCAGTGTTGTTTCCGTTGGTATTTGTTCCAATGACTTTTTTTTGCTTGGGAGTCTGTTGTAATTGTCAGTCGATCAATATTGCAAGTGATTACAGTTTCTTAAACGTGTTTTTCAATTTTCATGATTATTTACGGTCTTGGTATGCTTATGATTTCCTTCATGCATGCATCAAGATTATCATGGTTCCAAGTAGGAGTTGATTGAAAGGTTTCTAATACACAATATTCACTAGCAAGTTCATCGATGGAATGTCCACCTAAGCTATATAGCAAGGGGGTTGAGTAATTCATGCCATATTTGCATTCCTACTCTCCCTCTCTCGTCCTTAACCCAATCTGAATCACAAGTTCTCGTGCACGACATTGCTCCACCCAAAGCATCTAATATCGTCGTTTCGACTTCGCCAGAACTTTGTCTGTCTATGCTCCACCCAATGTATGATGTTTATGTGCCTTCAATTGTTGAATGACATAACCCATTCATTCATTACGTTGGCTTGGTTTCTTTCTTTCTTTCTTAATTGCACTATCACTCTTTATGCATTCATTTTTGTGTGTGTGTGTGCGGGATTGGGGGGGGGGGGCGACACATGCAAATTCCGAGAGTGTGCATGGAGGGCCCGTCACCAGCGAGGAGGAGCACCAAGACAGATGAGATTACAAGTCAATGCAGGGTAGGGTTGATCACATTCATCGTGACCATGGGTGATGTGGTGAAGAGAAGTGGCAAAAAAGATGAGTTTCTTGAGGCGTACGAGGATCTGTTCCTCCCGTTGCAACGCACGGGCATATGTGCTAGTATGAATTAAATCGTCGGAAAATTGCTAATTTATCCAACAACCACCACCGCTGCCTCTCTGTGTCTGCACGCAAGATCTTGGACACCGTTGACAATAGGCGAGGGTATCCTCGCGCTAAGATATAGTGGATGGGTGGGGAGAAGGAAGGCTGCAATGAGCTCCGATGGCCGTACGAGCAGAAGGAGGTACGCTCGTCAGGATCGCCATCAGAAGTCGCCTCTCTAGACTCCTGTTTATTCTCTCTTATCTGTTCCATTATGGGTGGATGGTGTATCCCTGTTATCCATTTACGGTAGAAAAATGATGTAGCGCATGAGTTAGCTACCTTTTTCTTTGCGCAACTCATGAGTTAGCTACCTTGGATGATGATAGAATATCTCCTCCTAATACATGGCTAGATTCGGCCCGGTGGCTGTAATTCCTATGCTTATAAAGGATTAAGGATGCAACCATTCTGATAAATGAATAAAGAAGGTTTGAAGTGTCAAAAAAATATAAACCGACGATGAATATGTGTGTGGACGGTGTATCTCTGTATATCCATGTGCGGTAGAAAAATCACTCTCGGACAAAAATCGAGCCTATCAAAACACACCGTGCTCCACTTGTCTTTCTCATCACATGCACGGTCCTTTTCTACGGTGGGTAAATTTCCGGTGCCGTGGATGGTCAAAACTTGAGTGCCGTGGTGCGCTTGGGCTTCTACTTCTCCCGCGTGATTGATTGAATTCCACAACCTCCCGGCCGGAGAAGCTTTGCTATGGCCTGTAAATGCCTACGGAGTAGGCGCTGGCTGGACGTACGAACGACTGACAGCTTATACTGATTGAGACCGATTGTACGACGTGTTAGTCCATGTCCATCTGGAAGACTATAAAACGTGGACACTACATCAATCTGGATATTGCTCCAAGTTCAGTGCACCACAGATATGTATCTAAGCAACTGAGCTTGTGGTGCTCAGTCCTCTCCTCACCGAAGCTGTCCTGCTTTTCCCGCGTGACTGAATTCCACGACCGGCACAAAGGACGACCTGCTGGCTAGACGAGTGAGTGGCAGCGTACGTTAACAAACGTATGCTGATTGAGTACGAAGCTAGAGCTTATCCATCTGGAATACTAGACTTGCCTCGGAGTCTTGACACACCAGCACCAATATATCGCTACAAATTCATTGCACCAAAGATATTAGTACTAACTAGTAACTACTCCCTTCCTCCCATGCATAATGTAGGACGTTTCTTTACGCTAGTGTCAAAAAATATCCAATATACACTGGTAGAAAAAGGGCCTGTTGTCCCGGTCCGTAAGGGCCTTTTGTCCCGGTTCTGGAACCGGGACTAAAGGGTCGGTGCTAATGCCCTGTCCCTTTAGTCCCGGTTCAATCCAGAACCGGGACAGATGCACCACCGGACTCGTGGGCTATGCCTACGGCCCAGGGCCGTCGGCATAGGTCCTTTGCCGTCGGCATAGATCTATGCCTACGGCTGCCGTCGGCATAGCCCCGTCGGCGTAGATCACGTCAGTGTAGATGTGTCAGACCGTTGGCGTAGTATATTCGTCGGCATAGGAGCATATGCCGACGGCCGTGGGGCAGCCGTCGGCATAGTTTAGCCGTCGGCGTTGTTTTCCGTCTGACGGCAACGGACGGCGCCGTCAACAGCGCTGGCGATTCAGGGGACGACACATGGCGCATGTATGCCGATGGCTTGGCCGTCGTCCCCCGGCTTCTCCTGGCGGCAGGGCTCTGCCTACGGCAAAGCCGTCGGCATAGATTTCCATCTATGCCGACGGCTTTGCCGTAGGCATATCTCTGCCACGTGGCAGCTCCTGGTTTCTCCTGGCAGCAGGGCTATGCCTACGGCAAAGCCGTCGGCATAGTTTTTCATATATGCCTACGGCTTTTCTGTAGGCATA